TGACGCAAAACTGATAACGAGACGAGAAGAAACAAGACGAGTCATATTTGAAAGAAAATGAATGGGACGAGGCAAAACGGGATAGAAAAGAAAGGGACAGGGTGGAACAAGACAGGAAGAAACAAGATAAGGCAGAATGGAAAGAAATGAACGAGACAAGGCAAAACGGAATGTGAATGAATAGGACGGGGAGGAATGAGACGGAAAGGAAATGTACATGATTAGGAAAAATGAGATGAGAATATGAGACGGTGCAAAATGGAACAAGACGGAACAAGAAGGAAATAAACAGGACGGGACATAACGAGACCAAAATTATACCCGACAAGGCATAACGAGACGGGAAGAATGGGATGAGAAAGAATGGGATGGGGCAATACGAGACGGGGAAAAAACAGAACGAGGCTGAACGGGACGAGGCAAAACGGTATGTGAATGAATAGGACGGGGAGGAACGAGTGATATACCCATATCTTTCATGTTTTTATCAAGGTTTTCACTATGTTTTCAATACAAATAATGTGGTTTTTAGCCCAAGAGGTAGTTTTCTTGTATATTCTGGTTTTGAGCATCATTCAGGTCAAAATAGCAAAGAAGAGTCAAAATGGAGCAAAAAGAGTCAAATCACCAAGTTCCCAAGTCTAGAGCACCAAATCTACATTTCTCGCTAAAGACCAAACCGGAGCATCCGAAGTACGACCGCATATTCATGCCTTCCCGACGTCCAAAAGTCATGTTTCTTATATGGAAAGATAGATATTTGAGTCATGACCCGCGGCGAAGTGGAAAGAGGTCATTTGGATCACTCGTTGGACCGGAACTTATTTTCTACCAAGACATGTCCGACGAGCGCCTAAGTAGAGCCCATGGAGACTTTGATGGATCAAGAGGCCCGAGATACCGCGCCCAAGGCCTTGGCTCATCTTGACACTAGCATAACTCAATCCAGAAGCTTCCATTGGCCTGAACGCGGCCCATTCAAGAACTTGGAGAGCAAGCTCAAGCGGCTAAAGAGAAATGGAAACTTTCCTCTTCTGCGCGCGCTCAACTTTGCCGACCTAGACCCGCTCTCTACCTATATATACTTGCTTTTAGCCTCTTGTAATAAGAATCACCAGCCGCATAACAAGAAACACTTATTCAATAAAGTTCGGAGCCACTTAGGTGGTCTCCTTCTTCTTTCTTTTCTTCTTTTGCATTTGTATATAGCTTGCATGTTTCAATTTATATAGTCTAGAAGTAGAGATTTCTCCCTAAGGGTGAGGCGTGGTTTAGTCATATTCCGCCGCCTCTCTCTCTAAGGATTCATGAGACTTCATCTACTATCTAAGACTCATTGTTGAATTATGGATCCTTCCAATGAGGACGTGATATAATGGCCATCTTGAATCGATTGTTAAAAGGGGAAACCCTATGGTTCTCCATCTTTATTTATGCTTAATGCTTGTTGCTAGAGTAGCTAACTAGTGACTTGATTTTAGGTTGATATACTCTCCAAAAGCTTGTTATATCTCCGGACACAATATTTGATGGGCAAATCGTTTTAGGCTACGAAAGTAGACCTAAAGAGTTTTGTGAACAATCATTACTTGGATGTAATGCATGTCTCACTCTACAATGACCAACGAAAGCTGAGCCCATTGGTTTAAGAGACATAGGGGATTGGAACCACGAAAGTGGAATAATCCTTCCTTAGTGTTTTGAGTTCAAAAGAATCGGATTTTAACAAACTTTTCAATCGACTTGGCTCATGTTTTCAAAAGAGTTTTCAATAGTTCAATAATGTTGCTTGTATAGAATTGCATTGTTATTTCTTTTGCGTGTTCTAAACAAACACAAACCCTTGCATCTTTTGATTTAGCTTAGTCATTTAAACTCTATGATTATGTAATGTGTGAAATCCAATCCCTTGTGGTTCGACCCCTAAATACTACAATTATATGTTGTGCACTTGCAACACTAGTTGTCTTAGGGAATTATTACTTGTACTCATCCCATAGATGGCGCATCAAGTTTTTGGCGCCGTTGCCGGGGATTGCATCATAAACACTTGCATAGTCTTGTTTAAAACTAAGTCTAGATCTTGGTATTTTCGAATACTAACTTTTTTTTTTAAATCTTGTGTTTATAGGTACTTGGAGATGAATCACAACACCAACATCCACTTTGGGAACCGGACACTGATCCCACACGATCTCCACGGCCGGAGTTACCAAGACCCAGCCGTAAGCATCGTGCCACATCCGTTCCCTCCCAACCGCGCTCATCCGACGTTTGAAGGACCTAGCCGAGACGAGCATCATTACCATCATCATCAAAACCGACCTCCGGTTTATCATCAACCACCTAGACCAGTGTTGCATTCACACCACGACCATGTTCTCAATAGGCGGAGAGATAGCCATTTCGATGCCGTGCTTGAGGGTTTCATGGAGAGCCAAAGAAGAACTAGCCGCGACATTGAGACAAAGCTAGAGTTCACGCGATACGAACTAGATGGAAGACTTGGAGAACTCTCTACCCAAATAGAGAGAGTAGAGTCAAGATGCTTGGACATGGAGGAAGATTTGAAGAAGCAAGGCGAGGCCATTGAAGACAATAGGAGAGCGATACACTTTACCAAAGTTTCTACCAAGGAGATGGATAATCACTTAGATGAGAAGATCTCAAGTCTTGATAACAACCTCGATGGCACCACCAAGAGTCTCAATTCAATAACAGCAGTAGCTCATCAAGCTAAGAGGGAGGTAGCCGAAGTGACACTAAAGGAGAGGCAATGTTACTCGACGATGCTTACATTGGTGGAAGGGCAAAAACAAGTGAAGGCACAAATCCGAGATTTACACATCTCTCTAGACAAGAGGAGCCAAGATATTCAAAGAAGAGCTAGAGGGCTTGAAGACAAAGTAGATGGAGTCTCCAAGGAAGTCAAGGATTTAACCACTCGCTTAGCCAACTTGGAAGAGAAGGTCTTGACCGAGACAAAGACGACCGTTCCTAAGCAAAACTATGCCGCGCCCGTCTTTACTATAAGAGAGACCGACCCAAGAGTGATTTGGGATGAAGAAGAGAGTAGAGCTGATCAAGAAAGAGCCACAAGCTAACCACTGGAACAAGAGAGAAGATAGCACCAAAAGGAAGAACCCTTACTCAAAGGTCTTCACAACCGCCTCCCACCAAGGAGAAGAGGAAGACAAGATCATCACTTGAAGAGATCATAGATGATTTCAACTTTATGGCGAGGAGATTCCCTTATGGTGTGCCGTTTGATAATGCTTGCAACAAGAGTCCATTCATGCAAGACCTAGCTTGGACACAAGATTGGAGTCTAGCTGAATTGGAAAAGATGTACGAGGAAGCAAGAAAGGGGATGCCTAAACCTAGGTTTCTACACAAGCTTCATGACCCAGGTTACTTCCTTATACATTTCTCTATCAATGGAAGCTACTTTGATGATGCTCTTTGCGATTCCGGTTCTAGTGTGAACCTTATGCCGGCCGAGATAGCCAAGAAGTTGGGATTGATCAATTCAATTGTGAAATCTCGAATGGATTTAAAGCTAGCTGATTCATCATTGACCGAACCACTTGGAGAGGTTAAAGACATTCAGCTTGATTTTGGAGGCTGCATAGTTCCAGCCAACTTCTATGTAGTAACCATGAAGGATCCGGAGGACTTAAAGCTTTTGCTTGGAAGATCATTCCTAGCCACAGCTGGAGCGATCATGGATTGGCCTAATAGAAGAATCTCTCTAGCCAATGTTGACAAGGACACCTTCTACGATGCTGCACCTCCCGGTTTCTCATCCAAGCGATTTCGCTACACAAGTGGAGGAGAGTGCTCACAAGTAAGAGGAGAGTCGCATGGCTACTTGATCAAGGAAGTTCTACAGGACAAGATGCACTTGGAATCATCAGGCAACAGGAAGTTCTTGGAGCCACCAATCCTACCTAACTAAGAACACAAAGGAGTCGAGCTACAAAGACTTAAAACAAGCGCTTGTGGGAGGCAACCCACATTTTCTTATCCCTTCCTCTTTTTATTTTTGTTTTTATTTTTATAACTACTTATTTGTTCTATTTATAACTCTTAAATTTTTGAGAGTTTAATAAATTTTACAAAAATAAAATAAAAAGTGTTTTAGGAAAAAGTACCAAAAGGAGGTCTACATAAAATGCATTGGAAAGCTGCATAGCCACGACTTGACCTCAAAAGATTAACCATCTTTGGTCTAAGTGTAAGCATTGAGTCTAGTTTGAGTCCCACCCAAGTCCCACCCATGTTTCAAGAAGCAAAGAAGTCCAAGAAGGGCCGCGGCACAATAAAATCCGGCCATTGGAACACTATTGCACAAGGCAAAGGTAAGTATCACTTCCATTCTTACTGTCATTTCTTTTAAACACTATCTCTATCAAATTAAACCACATGAACACTACTTGGATCTCTGATCAAGATCCAAGTACATATGGTTTCACGATCAAGTCTTTGATTGGGAAGTTCAAACTATTTTGAACAACTCAATCATTGACAGAGTTTAACAAAGAGTTACTAGTGTTTTTCAGATAAAATATGACAGGAAAGAACCGGTTCAAAATATCATACAAACATGGCGCGCAAAGGAGCCACAACCGGCCAAAGGAGGATTTACATGCCAAACATGAGAGATGAGGGAAATCCAACCACAATTCAATCCAGGAGGGATAGAAAAACAGTTCGGTCGAAGCAGAACTCAATTGGCCCGAGTAAAAAAGGAGATATCACATTCACAATCACTCTCTCGGCCAGAATCGACGAACCAAGCGACAATGCTCGACCATCTCCCAAACGGCACGACCGAAGTCCACCAAACTTCACAGGCGACCTCAAAACATCATTTTGGTCGGCAAATCCAAAAGATAGGACGAGAAAAAGTGCCTGCTACGTGAGATAGACGAAGGAAGCTCAATACGGCCGACGGCGATGCATAGAATGGCCGACGAACTCAAAACCTCAAGAAGGCGCGAACACCGGTGGAAACTGATCCTCTGGAGTCCAAAAAACACCAAGGAAGAAGAAAGGAAGGAGACGATCGAACAGATTAAGAGATGGCCAAAGGAATCACATCCCGAAGCCATTGGCGCGCACAACGAAAGATCTCCGAATCCACACGTTCAAATCGCCTCAAACTTCACAAGGAGCCACAAAACATAAGGTTGGTCGATGAAATTCATTTCAGTACAATGAATTCCTTACAATTCAAGAGATGGCCGATGGAGTGAAATTTGGCCGATCGCGAGCAAGTAAAATGGCCGACAATCCAAATCACGGCATTTACCGCGGCCACCGGCTCAAATCACCTCAATCAAGCATCCACATCGCATCTAAAGAAGAAAATCCAGATTGGAACGAGCAGAATTGGAGAAGACCGAAGGAAGACGTTCCCGGAGCCAATTTGAAAATTTTTCAAAGGAGATCTCAAACCACTCGTTCAAACGACCCCAAACTTCACCAGTCGCCATATTATACAATATTGGTCGACGAAATTTCAAGATAGGTCGAGGAAATCTTCACGGTTCGAGCTGTAGTCCATACCATCACCATCCGGTCGACCAAAACGGACCAGTCTCGGCCAAAAAGGCGAAAAACAGAAAACCAAGGGAGAATTGTCACATTCATCCAACCAAATCCAACAGCTATGATGTTTGCACCAGTCAGTTCATTCCTGGAAGCAACTCAAGCACAACCGATCTTCACATCAAAGGCCAAAATTTGGGTACAATTTTCTACAAACTCTAACTTTTCCATTCTATTTATCATTACCTCTCTTAATTGGATTTTTCTTACACCGAGACGGTGCAAGTTAAGTCTGGGGGGATTACTAACAAGTTTGTTCTTTTTGAATTTCATTGAGTCGTTTTATTGAGTCAAAATTTTGTCAAAGGATTATGACCTTATCTTGGATCTAACCATTGTTGTGCTAACGTTTAAGTGACCATTGAAGCAGTCTTGGCAATACATCTTACCACAGGGACACTATGAGTTGATCGATCTACCAAAAACGCCCACACCTCCAAGGACTTGAGAAGGATCCACTCTTGACTCCGCCCTTAATGAACTTAATCTTCTCAGCTAGGGGCTTGGCATACAAATGGCATGATTCCTCATCCTCTCCATCAAATGAAAAAGTCTTAGTGAGTTCGTGCTTCCCTCTCTCTCCCCTTCAAATTTAAAGAAAAAGCGTAAGGTCCAAGTAACCGGGGATTCGGTGGCAAACACCATCAATACTCGCGTCTATGGAAGGCCTATGAATCCAAGCAACCGGGGATTCGGTGGCAAACACCATCAATACTCGCGTCTGTGGAAGATCCAAGCAAAACCTCTATAATAAAGAGAAGGAGTTGAATAAAAAAATACTTCGCTACCCTAAAAAAGGGATGAATCAACTCAAAGAAGTGAGAAGAGAGAGAGGAGAAACATGGAGTAAAAAGACAAGTGCCAAAACAAGGGGATGAGTAAGAGTCTAAAGCCGGCTGATCGATACTCCCTAGTTGAGACCACACCTTTAGAAATGAAAGGAGTCAAGGAGGGTGAATTGGATTGTCCAAAGAGAGGTGGGCCGCCTTGGAAAAATCGCAAAACTCATGGTATGTACTCTTGTTCTTAATTCAAATATTTGCCAACTACTTTCATGTGGATTACTAAAACCAAGCCAACCCGGATTTCCTAATGATTTGAGAGTTCTTGCGTTTTCAAACCTCTCTTCCTCTCTTAGTTTGCTTGGGGACAAGCAAAAGGCTAAGTCTGGGGGAGTTGATATACCCATATCTTTCATGTTTTTACAAGGTTTTCACTATGTTTTTAATACAAATAATGTGGTTTTTATGCCCAAGAGGTAGTTTTCTTGTATATTCTGGTTTTGAGCATCATTCAGGTCAAAATAGCAAAGAAGAGTCAAAAATGGAGCAAAAAGAGTCAAATCACCAAGTTCCCAAGTCTAGAGCACCAAATCTACATTTCTCGCTAAAGACCAAACCGGAGCATCCGAAGTACGACCGCATATTCATGCCTTCCCGACGTCCAAAAGTCATGTTTCTTATATGGAAAGATAGATATTTGAGTCATGACCCGCGGCGAAGTGGAAAGAGGTCATTTGGATCACTCGTTGGACCGGAACTTATTTTCTACCAAGACATGTCCGACGAGCGCCTAAGTAGAGCCCATGGAGACTTTGATGGATCAAGAGGCCCGAGATACCGCGCCCAAGGCCTTGGCTCATCTTGACACTAGCATAACTCAATCCAGAAGCTTCCATTGGCCTGAACGCGGCCCATTCAAGAACTTGGAGAGCAAGCTCAAGCGGCTAAAGAGAAATGGAAACTTTCCTCTTCTGCGCGCGCTCAACTTTGCCGACCTAAACCCGCTCTCTACCTATATATACTTGCTTTTAGCCTCTTGTAATAAGAATCACCAGCCGCATAACAAGAAACACTTATTCAATAAAGTTCGGAGCCACTTAGGTGGTCTCCTTCTTCTTTCTTTTCTTCTTTTGCATTTGTATATAGCTTGCATGTTTCAATTTATATAGTCTAGAAGTAGAGATTTCTCCCTAAGGGTGAGGCGTGGTTTAGTCTATATTCCGCCGCCTCTCTCTCTAAGGATTCATGAGACTTCATCTACTATCTAAGACTCATTGTTGAATTATGGATCCTTCCAATGAGGACGTGATATAATGGCCATCTTGAATCGATTGTTAAAAGGGGAAACCCTATGGTTCTCCATCTTTATTTATGCTTAATGCTTGTTGCTAGAGTAGCTAACTAGTGACTTGATTTTAGGTTGATATACTCTCCAAAAGCTTGTTATATCTCCGGACACAATATTTGATGGGCAAATCGTTTTAGGCTACGAAAGTAGACCTAAAGAGTTTTGTGAACAATCATTACTTGGATGTAATGCATGTCTCACTCTACAATGACCAACGAAAGCTGAGCCCATTGGTTTAAGAGACATAGGGGATTGGAACCACGAAAGTGGAATAATCCTTCCTTAGTGTTTTGAGTTCAAAAGAATCGGATTTTAACAAACTTTTCAATCGACTTGGCTCATGTTTTCAAAAGAGTTTTCAATAGTTCAATAATGTTGCTTGTATAGAATTGCATTGTTATTTGCTTTTGCGTGTTCTAAACAAACACAAACCCTTGCATCTTTTGATTTAGCTTAGTCATTTAAACTCTATGATTATGTAATGTGTGAAATCCAATCCCTTGTGGTTCGACCCCTAAATACTACAATTATATGTTGTGCACTTGCAACACTAGTTGTCTTAGGGAATTATTACTTGTACTCATCCCTTAGATGAAGCGATACCAACGAGACGGGAAATAGAACGGGATAAGAGGTAAATTTTGCCTACCTCTTATTATATTTATAGACGGGACAAGAAGAAACAAAAAGACTAAGATGGGACAAGACAAGACAGGAAGAAACATAATGAGACAGGATGGGACTAGACGGGATGGATATGACGGAAAGGACGGGATGAAAATAAACATAATGGAACGGAAAAAACGTGAATTTAGCATATCCCTAATTATATTTTAGGACATGACGGAAAGAAACAGAAAGAACGGGATGAGACTGGACAAAACGGGATGGAATAGTCTCAGATATGATGGGATTGCACGTGACGATACGGACATGGCGAATGGGACGGGAAAGAACAGATATGATAAAAAGAACAAAATGGGAGGAATGTAAAATGATGGTTCAAAATTTGCGTAAACTTAATTATATTTAATTTCGGAAATTTTTTAGTATCCCTAATTATATTTGATTAATATGTGTATGACATTTTTAAAATGATAATAAATCATAGAATTAAATTAAATTTGTGAAAAATAATAAAATCAACACAACAATTTCAATTCCCGCGTGAAGCGTGGGTCACCCCTAGTTGATAATATTTTTGAGTTATCACCATTAATCAAACTTACCACAAGATACCACATGTCACGAATTAGGCTAAAGTAAATACGGTTACTACACATACGGTACCGCCGTCCGATCGTGATTGCAGATTGGGAGCATGCCTATCAGAAGTTCAGAACATATCCGGGCCCAAAAGGCCCAGTTCGAAAGTTAATTACGGTCAAACTTTTTTTCCTCTTTTAGAGTTCAAACTTTTAAATTTCCAACCAAGTGGACCCCATGTATACGTCTCCAAAAATTCGAAAAACCTAGCAAACGAGCGAGCGAGCGCGAGATTCAAAAATTAAATTAAAAACACGCAGATCAATGGACACTGAACCACACGCGCCTCTCTCCTCTCTGCCATACTCTGGGCTCCGTGAAAGAAAGCAACTCTCTGTCCCTCTCTGCTTTTGAATCAGTTTTCATTTGCTCTCCACTCCACCACTTGAGATTTTTCATCATTTTCTCGGAAAATCAAACTGAAATTCAAACCGCTTATCCTCATGGCTTCTCCTCACTCCTTTCGCTCACCACCATGTTCGTGAAGCTCTCAGAATATGCTTCGCTATTCTCTTAAAACCTTTTTTTTGTTTGTTGATGCTTTCACTTCCTCTGCATTCTGGATTTGTACTCCCCTGAGATTGAATCTTCGCTTAAGAATTAAAAAAAAAAACTCGACTAGCTGTTTAATTTTGGTAAGCAAGGAGTAAGACTAAGGCCCCTACACCAAAACCGCCCAAGGGATCAACCAAGATTGAAGATGAGGCCAAGCCAAGAAGGAAGGTTAGAAAACCTAGGTCTGGCCGCAACATGAAGCTTCTATTCCCAGAGGAGCTTATTGATGAGAATCTAGAAGGATTCAAGGAGAGAGTGACAAGAACTCTAAAGCTTTTTCCTAAGGCAGTAGTGCCAAGGGACATTCATGGAGAGATTGTCTATCCAGCTGTGAATCACCCACCAGATACTCATTGCAAGGAGAAAAGACTTGGAGGATCAAGATGCCTCTTGTCTCTATCTTCTCCTGAGCGCCAAGCCTTACAGTCAAGCTAAAGACTTAAAACAAGCGCTGCATGGGAGGCAACCCATGAGGTACTTTTACTTTTCTTTCTTTAATTTCTTAGTTTTTGTTTTGCTTTTGTGTTTTCTTTGTTTTAAGATAGGATAGAAGGAGAAAAAGGTGTGAAAACACAATCCGCGCCAAAACATTGGCCGCGGACGCGCAAAGGTGATTTTGGCCGAGCAATTCCATTCTGGCCGACCGTTACGGTCGAGCCGGGAAGGAACAAGCCGTGCTCGGCCGGATTCACTCTATTGCGGGAAAGTTCGCGACGGCCGAACCGTTACGCGATCGGGAAAGATTTACGCGACGGACCGACCGTGCCGGTCGATCCGGGAAACATACGCTCGGCCTCGGCCGAAATTCTCTCGGCCAAACGAATTTGGCCGACCAAATCGCTCGACCGCGACAAAATCCATCGGCCATCGGCCCAAAACTTTTCTAGGCCAAGGTAAGTCCCCTTTTCATTTAATTCAAACCGGTTTTAACCAATTCTAAACCAACTTAAACCGGTTTTCAATCAAAATTCGAATTTGAAAAGGAAAATTGATAGGATTTAGATCTTATTTACTTCACCTTTCCCTTGAAAACCACAAGAACCTCTCTTTCTTCTCCAAAACCCTAAACTCCATTAGAGGAACTCTAAGAGTTTTGATTTCAAAACTTTTACTGTTCATAACTCTAAATTGGAATTTACTTGCTCTTGCAACCTTATTCACTTTTCAACACACAAGGTATGTCTTCTAACTCTAATCCTATGTTTATGCAAGATCGAAAATTCAATAAGTTTCATGTTTGGTCTAAACTCTTGTCTAGACTTGAAATTAGCATCCTTATAGTCTTGTAATGAACTTTGCTAGGTGGAACCTAGGTGGTTTAGAGTTAATTTGAAGTTTAATTTCACAATTGAATAGTTTTTCACAAAACTTATTGGGCATTCCAAACCCCTTATTCAAAGGTGAAATTGCTTGGGCATACTTCAATTCATTAGTTTATCTAGTGATTACTTGGATTAGAAACTCAATTTCTCTTGATTTGCTGAAAATTTTGATTTTAAGCACCATAATCTTGGGATGAACAGTAAAATCCGAAAATTAATTTTGAAAAAGTGAAATTTCTATTTTGTCTCTTTGATTCATGATTAAGCCTTGAGTTGTTCCTTTATTCCATATCATTATTACAACTCAATTAGCTTATTCTTCTTTTGCATTAATCACAAACTCATATTTCTTCCCAAGAATTTGCTCTTGTAGGTACAATGGCAAAGACAAAAGGAAATGAGAGTATGAAGAAGAAGAAGAACCCATTCATGCAACCACCAAAGAAGCAAATCAAGCTAGGGAGTAGTAGCTCCAATGCAAGAGCAGCAATACCAACTTCACCACATTCCATTGATGCAATCAAGAACATGTGGAGAGTCCAAGAGAGGAGAAGATGATTGGGCACTTGTAACCTTTGTTGGAGAACAAAATCAAGACCCAAGAAAGTGTAAGAAGGCAATGGAGAAGGTGAACATCGAGCCATGTGTGAAGATGGACACCCAAACCCTTGATCTTCTCAAGATAAGAGATGATGTCACATGGTACATAAGGAAGCTAGGCTTGAGCAAGCTCTTCAAGCTAGAATGTAGTGAGTACTCACAACTCACCAAGGAGTTCCTCTCCACAGTAGCTCTTGCCTTTCCCAACCACAATGGAGACCAACCAGCTGGTGATGGACTCCTACTCTTCAAGATAGGCGATGCCAATGGGCGCATCTCATCTCAGCTCTATGCCAACTCTTTGGACTTCCCAATGAGACAGCACATGACTTCAAGGAGAACTCAAAGAGGAAACAAGCTGCCTTTGCTGATTGGACACACTTTGCCAATGAACCATTCTTGCCTTCAAGGTCAAAGGTGTCTAGAATCACTCATCCAGCCATTCGCTATGTGCACCGCCTCATCTCCACCACTTTCCAATGCAAACAAGAAGCCAACAAGGTCACAACTGATGAGTTCTACATCCTCACCACACCATTCATCAAGCATGAGTACAAGGCCAACCTTGGACTTTTACTTGCCAAGACATTCATCAATGTGAGGAAGCTAGCTCAAGACTTGGAAGGCAACAAGAAGCTTTGTGTTCGTTTTGGGAGGCTTATCACGGCCATAGTACTGCATGTGGGGATTGACATTCCCAACTATGAGCCACTACCCAAGCCAACCCCTTTGGATCTCCATGCTCTTCAGCACATCCACTTCCTAAACCGTTGGACTAAAGACCCAACTCGGTTTTGCTATGAGTTTCCAATTGGTCCAGCCAACACTTCCCTTGTCTTGCTGCCACATGAGACATCCCAAGCCTACGCTCAGGAGTTGTCACTTTCCAGCCCAATGAGGAAGAGTTCTATGTTCCATCAAGTGAGAAACCATCATTCCCCATGCTCACCTATCGCACACTTCAGCATGCAGTCAAGACTCAACGCCGCATCCAAGAACGCCATGTTCTCACTACTGGCATGGCTGCGCACCAAGCTCTAGACCGTGTTAACAAGCTGGAGAAGATAGTGGAATGCCAATCTCGCTTCATCTCGCGCCTAGTCCGCGTAGTTCGCCACATATGCCTGACCTTGGTGAGTTCTCACTAGACTCAGAGCTTGGTTCAGGAGACCGCCTTTGTTACCCCTCCTTACAAGCCACCGATGCCCTTTCCGGGTTGATTCAAGAAGCAGTTGACTGAGCAGTACAAAGCTTTGTTCGATAAGCAGATGGCTGAGATCGAGGTGAAGATGCCGTTACTGGACGCCTTCATGCTGATCCCACCATATCAGAAATTCCTGATGGATGCGACTCTGGAAAGAACCAAGGAAGTACAAGGGATGGTTGTTCTGAGTCACGAATGCAGCGCCATTATCCAGAGCAAATCGATCCCTAAGAAGTTGGAAGACCCAGGATCGTTCACGCTTCTATGCTCGATCGGTCCACTGGCTTTCAGCAACAGTCTGTGCGATCTAGGCGCCTCGATCAGCTTGATGCCTCTGTCAGTTGCGAAGAAACTGGGATTCACTAGGTACAAGGCTTGCCAGATCTCTCTTATCCTGGCAGACAGAAGCGTTCGGATTCCCCACGGCATTCTAGAGGATCTACCTGTTCGAGTTGGTAGCGTGGATGTCCCAACGGACTTTGTAGTTCTGGAGATGGACGAAGAGCCGAAGGACCCTCTCATCTTGGGGAGACATTTCTTGGCTACAGCTGGAGCTGTTATTGACGTGAGGAAAGGCATGATCGATCTGAATTTGGGAGACGACCTGAGTATGAGGTTCGATATCAAGGACTCGATGAGACGGCCGACGATCGATGGTCAAGTGTTTTACATCGAGATGATGGACAAGCTGGCTGACGAGCTATTGGACGAGCTAGTTGTCGAAGATCACCTGCAGACAGCTCTGACTAAGAGGGGTGAAGACGGATACCTCCACGAAGACACCGGCTGTTATGAGAAGTTGCTGGACTCTCACAAAGCAGTGAAAGGAGCAGAAGTGTTTGAGGAGATGGTTGGATCGAGTGCAGCTATCATGGCAATGGAGACGACAGATCCAGTTCATGCTCAACCACAGAGCTCGATCGAGCCCGCACACTCAAGAGCAGATGACTGGTCCGAGCTCAAAGCTCCCAAGGTGGACCTCAAACCCTTACCGAAAGGGCTCAGGTATGCATTTCTAGGCTCTAACTCGACCTATCCTGTGATTGTGAATGATTCGCTTAGTGCTGATGAGCTAGATTCGCTCTTGATCGAATTGAGGAAGTTTAGGAGAGCTATAGGTTATTCACTGATGACATTAAAGGAATTTCACCCACTCTGTGCACACATAGGATTCACCTTGAAAACGAATCGATCTCTAGCATTGAACCACAGAGGAGATTGAATCCTAACTTGAAAGAAGTAGTTAAAAAGGAGATTCTTAAACTGCTTGACTCTGGTATGATCTATCCTATCTCTGATAGTACTTGGGTCTCACCAGTGCACTGTGTTCCTAAGAAAGGTGGTATGACTGTGATTAAGAATGATAAGGATGAATTGATACCAACTCGAACTATAACAGGACATTGGATGTGCATAGATTACAGGAAATTGAATGCTGCATCTAGAAAAGATCACTTCCCATTGCTATTCATTGATCAAATGCTTGAAAGATTAGCTAATCATCCTTACTACTGTTTTCTTGATGGTTATTCTGGGTTCTTTCAAATCCCAATTCATCCTAATGATCAAGAAAAAACCACCTTCACTTGCCCTTATGGAACATTTGCATATAAGAGGATGCCTTTTGGTCTTTGCAATGCACCTGCTACTTTTCAGAGGTGTATGACCTCTATATTTTCGGATCTGATCGAGGAGATGGTGGAAGTCTTCATGGACGATTTCTCAGTCTATGGCTCCTCCTTCTCCTCATGTTTGCTTAACTTGTGCAGGGTGCTATCTAGGTGTGAAGAGACCAATCTGGTGCTGAACTGGGAGAAGTGTCACTTCATGGTCAAGGAAGGGATAGTGCTGGGTCACAAGATAAATGCGAACGGGATCGAGGTGGACAAGGCCAAGATCGAGGTCATGATGCAGCTGCAGCCGCCTAAGACGGTCAAGGATATCAGAAGCTTCCTCGGACACGCTGGATTTTACAGGAGGTTTATCAAAGACTTCTCAAAGATCGCGCGACCTCTGATCAGATTGCTGTGCAAGGAGGTCGAGTTCGTTTTCGACGCTGACTGTTTGGAAGCGTTCGAGCTCATCAAGGAGGCCCTCGTTTCTGCACCAGTCATTCTTGATCGATTGTGAATGGGGCCCCTTCCTTGTTGAACAGAGTGACAGCTCCAAAAGGTGATACCTCTTTGACAGTGAAGGGTCCAGACCACCTCGACTTCAGTTTCCCAGGAAACAGCTTTACTTGAGAGTTAAACAGCAGCACTCGATCGCCTTCCTTCAAATCCTTTCGAATGATCTTTTTGTCGTGGAATGCCTTGGTTCTCTCCTTGTAGATCTTAGAACTTTCGTAGGCATCCAACCTGATCTCCTCGAGCTCATGCAGATCGAGCTCTCTCTTCTCCTGGGCAGTCTTGAGATCAAAATTCAGCATCTTTGTCACCCAGAGGGCTCTTTATTCCACTTCAACAGGGAGGTGGCACGACTTTCCGTACAACAATTGAAATGGTGTCCTCCCAATAGGCGTCTTGAACGCTGTCCTATACGCCCAGAGTGAGTCATCAAGCTTGGTCGCCCAGTCTCTGGTCGAGCTGCTGACAACTTTGTGTAGGATCGCCTTGATCTATTTGTTGGACACTTCGACCTGTCCTGATGTCTGGGGGTGATACGGCGTTGCAACCTTATGTTTCACTCCATACTTCTTCAGAAGACCAGCAAAGATCTTGTTGATGAAGTGGTTCCCCCCGTCGCTTATCACAACTCTCGGGATTCCGTATCTAGGAAAGATGACGGATTTGAACAGCTTGAGCACTGGCTTGTGATCGTTGGCAGGGCACGCGATCGCTTAAACCCACTTGGACACGTAATCGACCGCAACCAGCTGGCTCCTCCACAATTCCACCATACACTCGGGAGTCAATGCAGGAAGCGACCGACTCGCTTTTCCAGTTCCCTTACTGAAGGTCCATTCGCACTCTATCTCATTGTACAATCCATTTTTAGTTTATCTTTTTCTTTCTTGAATCTTCTTTACTAGACTTTTATTACACAAGGGACTGTATAATTCAAGTTTGGGGGGGGAGGTTCAGGATGTATTTAACTTCATTTTCTTTGTTTTTGTATTATATCTTTGCATGCATTAATAAAAAAAAAAAAAAAAAAAAAAAAAAAAAAAAAAAAACATTTAGATTGCATTGCATCATTAGATCGAGTCTAGGCACTCATGTAGAACTGTTGCACTTGCATAGGGGTCTGTGATGATTAAAACCTTGTAAGCATGCTAATGAAGTGGAAAATTTCAGTGCCCTTGTTGTTAGTCCTTTGAGTGCATAACCGATTGAGTCTGAGAGCATATTGTGAATTGAAGTCATTCTCCATCTATCTGAACTTAATTGATTGATAATTATCTTGTTGTGCAACGAGATCGAGCTCATTGTCACTGTATACATATCTGGATTTGCTTTTATCTGTTTGTCATTCTTGTTAATCCAGGTAGCTGATTCCCACTTTTGGAACAGTATCCACGCCCTCTAGCCAACCTTTCTTTTCATCCTTGATTATTTACTGAGTGGTAGGCTTTTTTCAGGTTTGAGCTTGGAAGAAAGTGTTAGGATTATGACCGACAAGAGAGAAATCCCATATAGATCTGGCTCACGCTTTCTGAGTCAGTTAGATCTAGGTTTGGGGGTGCTATATGTTGAGCTCGATCGAGCTATCTTTGATGTCGAGGGAATTGAGATAGAGTCAGAAAAGGGAAAATAAAGAGTTAGAGTCTAAGGGAATTAGAAACATTGTAGTGTATGGCAGCTCTAGCTCTCTGTATGTCTAGACAGATTCGAAAAAAAAAAAAAAAATATACTTAGGAATCGAGTCTAGATAGAGCTGCAGCCATCGAGTGAAAAAGAAAGCTATTCCCTTAGACCCTTAAAATGAAGAGAACGAATTCGTTCTGATCTGTCTCAAGAAAAAAAAAAGGGTAGAACTAGAACAGTTTGGGTTTGAAGTTTCAGTGGATGTTACCTTTGTTTCTGGGTAGATGGGATCGATCTCTTGTACGCATCAGTTGGTCTTTACCTTTAGCATTCTTCTAAAGCTCGAACCCTTTCTTTGAGAGAACCCCATCGCTTTAAAAAGAACTGAACCACCTGTGAGACTCGTGCTCTGTCTCTAAAAAGCCTTACCCTTAGCCGATTGAGTTCGATTTAGTTGCACTGCTCGATTCACTGTTACTCGTAATTGAATGTTAAGGAGATTGACTGAGATTTTTATGATTGACTCTATCACCTTGCGCCTCAGAACTAGCAACTAGGACATTGATTTTATCTTCTTTATTGGCATGTTTTGGTTCTGAGCCCCCACCTTCAAACCTCACCTCTATGACTTGGTCGCGCTTATTTGCTTGAGGGTAAGCAAAGACTAAGTTTGGGGGTGTTGATGTGTTCATACTTTGCATGTTTTTAGCACTCGATTGTATATGTTTTTGCATCCATAACCGTTCATTTGCATTCGTTTTCACTCATCTCACTCATATTCCGCATTTAGTGCATTTAGGACTAGCATTGTTACATCTTGTACATTTGTGTCAGTTTTAGGTGTTTCCTGGAGTGACGGAGCTGGAGTGACAGAGTACACGTGGTCGCGTTGACGCTATCAAACATCAAGTGATCGAATTGGACGAGGTCGAGTGCTGTGATCGAGCTCGATGAGGTCACGCTGGACTGAAGTATGAACGCCGTAGCGCCGACGTCAAACCTGAGAGACGGAGTCAAAGTCAAGCGAGAGGGCCCACGTTCTGACGGGATCGATCCAGCCCATTAAGGGATCCGACCCAGTGCTTGTTTCGGCCAACTTTTCCCTTTTTATTTTATTTCCCGATTTTTCTAAAACACTAGGTTTTCGAGTATCAAAACCAGAGAGAGGTGCAGCCTCCATTATCTTATCTTTCATCTTTCATTTTACATTCGAACAGAGTTGTATTTTCAGATTTGTTTTTGGAGTTCTAAGTACTTTGCATTTTCGATTCTATCTCTTTCGCTTTGATTATGCACTCTATCTCTTTTGATTCTGAAATGTGTATGATGAGTTCTAGCGAGTAGTTTCGTTTAAGTTTCTGAGGATGGGATAGATCTGTAGCGAACCCTAGCGTGATCGAGTTGCTTAAGTATTGTTTGTCAAATCGATCCCTTCTGGATTAGTGAGCTTCATCCCAGATTCTTTCTGATCACCTGGATCTGGATCTTAGACATTTCCACGCTCATGAGGCGTTCGATGAGATGTCTGAACCAGCTGATCCAGATATTTACTTTTCTAGCCTAAGGGATTAAATGTCTAGAGAGTATTTCGACTCTATCGAATCCGAACTTAATGCTTGCTTGTGTTTTCTTCGCTAATGATGATTAGGTCTTGAGAATTCACTAGTTTGTTGATCTCTCTCGTGAAAGCGAATTGATCTTGTCTGTCGAGTTCGTTGTTGAGAGATTAGCCCGTGTTTGAGGTTTGTTAAGCGACGAGATCACGTTAGGAGTAGTTACAGGTCGATTACCCCATCCTTAGGAGCTTGATCTTTCTCTGATTTTCACTTCCGTCATTTTATTGTTTCAGCTCGATTGCATTCTTATTGCACTCGATCTCTTTTATTTATTATCACCACCACTTGATAGATTTGGCTTGAATTGAGTAATTCTGTCATATCCTGATTGCTAGCATCCCACCTGATTGGATTGATACCTAAAGTACTACTGCGATAGATACACTGCTTTAGGATAATTGATAGTAAAATCCTAGTATCAGCCTCGAAAGTGGAATGGCTTTATATTCGTGATCTGTGTTCTAGATGGTTCTTAATATCCCAATATCCCTAATCAATTAATCTATCATTGTTTCCTTGATCATTGCTTGCTTCTCTGCGATAGCCCTGATGATAGGATTTGTGTGTGGATGTGAAAAGATATGAAATGAGATGAGTGGAATGCAATCAGTGGTATATGATGAGGTGGTAAGATGCAAACACAAACACAGTCAACAATTCCCTTTAACCATGATAGTTGATGTAGTACAAAGGGTTATCAATCCAAAATGGGAAACTTGTCACTCTATGAGAATATGAAACAACCAGAAAGTCAAGCAAGCAGTTATAGATTTGAAGTAACACTAACAACCTAAATAAAATGAAATGCAGTGCAATAAAAGTAAACAAAGCAGTGAAGTAGCAGCTCGACCAAGAGCTCGAGTCGAGTAGGAACAAAGTACCAGCTCGATCGAGTTTAGGGACGAGTTGAGACAAACAAAGCTAAAGGTGACGACTTTAACAAGATAGAGAGAATTAGGGTTCAAGACAGGGTTTTGCAATCAAAGGAATCTACACTTAATCAATCTAGCTCTTAAAACTCCTTGTATCAAGGCTTCTCTTGATATTGGGCTTCTCAATGCCTAGCCAACCCTTTCCCAAGGTGGAGGCTATCAACCAAGGAATGATCTCAGAAACAGGGGGTTAGCCAGTGAGAATCAAACCTTGGAGGCTATAGGATCATTGCCCAAACTAATCCATCCAACCCCTTAGACCTCTATTGTCTAGAGCAAGAGATATTGGAGCTCTTAGTGGATCTTTTCCAGCGAATGCCATCACTTTCGTGTGGGGAGTCGCCTAAGGACTTACAAGCCAGGGGTAGTGGTCATGTAGCCTTAAGATCTATCCAAAAGAGAGAGAATCTAGATTAAGACCATAAGCTAGAAGGATTAAGCATATGAAACCTCTAATCTATCCCATCTCAAACCCTAATGGGTAACTACTCACTACACATGAATGTAAACACAAGCAAATGCAATAAAAGAGACATCATAAGAAAGAGGAGATGAAATTAAACAACTTTTATTGAAATAAGCAAGTGCAAATACAAAGAGATTATCCAGGATCTAGGATTCAAGAAGCAAGAGCTTCAAGAACACAAAGATGGGATTAGATCTCTAAAAAGTAAAAGACAATAAATTAAAAGAAACTAAAACAAAAGTAATCTAAAGCTTGGTGGTTTTTTCGTGGCTTAGAGCCTTTAAATACAAGAGGATTAGGTTTAGGGTCAAAGGAAAGTCAAGGGGGAAGCAACATTTTTCGGGTTTGACTTTGACTTCCAGCTCGATCGAGTTGAAGCTTGGCCGGTCGAGTTGAGGAACTCGACCGGTTGGTCGAGTAGACGGTCGAGCTGGTCTTCAAGATGGCTTCTCCCTTCTTCCTTTGCGTATCCAGTTGAGCTGCTTCCATGTGCCAAGTCCCTCCATGCTCCTTCATGTCCCATATGCTCCAGAATGCTCCAAAAGACCTATTTCAAAGGACCAAACATGCATATGTATGCAAATGCAACCTAAAACTAACATGAATGCATAAGAAGAGAAAAGGAACAAGATATGATGCAAATGGAAGCTAAAACTATGCAAAAGATGCATAAAAGATCAATCAACTCATTTGGTTTCAAGGGTTTATGGGTTAAGAGACAAAGAGGGTCTCTTTTGTATGGTGGTTTAGTTAACAGGGATCTCTCAAGAAAGTGGCTTTGCTTTGGCAGAAGGCTAAGTGTTAGAACCAAAGATGATGCAAGAACAGCAGCTCGAGCCGCCTAATCCTAACTCGATCGAGTTCAACACTTAGAGCTTTTTAGAACAAAATCCTAACTACCCTTTTTGGCATTTCGCCTTTGAAACTGAGGAGCTTTGCTCACTTTTCTTTTAAGAACATCCTAGGGAGAGGCTTCTTGAGGTAACATCTAGCGGTTTGGGATTTTCTAAACACTTAGGGAACTTTTCTTCCTTTTTGACACTTGAGGCTTTGCCTTCTTTTCTTTCTACTTAGAACCCTTTTTACTTTCTTTTTTAACTTCCCAAACCTTTACTAGACCCTTTTAAACACTGCCAACTCCCTGGACTTAACTAAACTCTTTTTCCTTTGGTTTTTCCCAACTTTTACCACTTTTCTGGTTTTTACACCCAACTCGATCGAGCTCGAGTTGGCACCCCCAAACTTAGCCTGAAAACAATCCCAAGAGAACTAGACAACTAGAACTACTGCCCCTGCCGGTTTAAACACAACACCTTATGCTAAGCAAAGCCAAGAAAGGTTCTCACATTCGCACAAGAGATAAAATGGGGTTTGAAATGAAAAGGCTTAGGTTTAAGGTGTGGTAACTGTCTCAAAGATAGAGATCAGCTATCTGGACAAGCAAGAGGGATATGAAAGTGTAAAGAATGTCCAGATATGTATGTGGTAGCCATGAGTTGAAATCAAATGCAAGCATTGGTAATTAAAGATCAAGTTATGGTTCAATAGATAGGAAATGCATCAAATCACAGCAATGGTTGAATGAGATGTGCATGCAGCGATATGATCAAGATAAACATGGTTCTTGCTGCTCAATCAATCTCACCCTAATGCACAAAAGAATCTAAAAACAGGGCACTCAAGAAATCGCAAAAGATGGACAAGTTTTCAAAGTCAAATCAACAATGCAAGTGAAA